TTCAACGTGATGTCACGCTCCTGGAATGGGAGTCAGTACAGTCCTTTGCAGACACCCCTGGTTTTTCTGAGGTTTGTTCGGCCTGATGTGCTCCTTGCGAGACTTGCAGTTTGCACTACGGGGTAAAGTGCGCATTTTTTTTAAAACTGTACGTAAGTTGTTGATAACAAGATGTTCCAGTTATTTAGTTTTGCTGGAACTGCAGGAAAGGTATAAACTCTCTAAAATCTGAAGCTGAATCTCATGGTACGGGACTCTTTTGTTACTGCTTTCTCTAGTTTGATTTGTAGTGGTTTGTGGTTTGGGAGCTTAGTGTACCTGTAGACTGCATCGGGAACAACTTACTGCCTGCAAGCAAAAGTGACTCCACTGCGACTCTGATTCCAGGTGCTTGTGCTCCCGCTGTTGGCCCCCGCATCGCAGTCAGGAGCGACTTTCGTCTGGACCGCTTCCCCCCGCGCGGCCCGCTGCTGCTGGCCGAGCCCTCCGGCGCCGACCGCCTCGACGAAGTCGCCCCTGTGGACCGCAGCGGCGCGCTCATGTTGCCCACGTCCGCCCCCGAGCCCGAAAACCCCGACGAAGCCGCCCCCAGCGCTGAGGACATCAGCATCCTGCTGGAGTTGCCTGCGTCTGTCCCCGAGCCCACCGGCCACCACCACGAAGCCGCCCCCAGCACTGGGGGCCGCCGCTTCCCTCCGCCCCTGGGATGGTGCGTTTTCCATGGGTGCGATGCTTCGTTCAGCACCGGGGAGGACCATGTCAGGCTTTACGTTAGCCAGCACTTAGGGATACACCACTCGCTGGTGTGCCACTTTTGCCTGCTGACGTCCAAAAGCTTCAAGTTTACTGATATACATATCAAAAGTCACTTCTCCAAAGTAAACTTGCACTTCAACTGCACGAGGTGTTCGGCGCGTTTTTACGTTGCAAAGATGCTAGAGGAGCACATGAGGGTGTTCCACAGGCAGCCCTGAAGTTTGCGAGGACGGAGTGTGGACTATAACGTTTCTCTACGTTGCTGTACTGACGCAGCAAGAAACGACCCTTACTTTGTTCAATGGTACCTCCTTTATGTTTTCTGGTTTAATTTCTGGCTTAATTTGATATGAATGCCCTCGTTCAATTGGAACGTCACGTAAAAATGTGTTTAGGGCCACAGCTTTACTTTTAAGCTCCGTTTTTGGCGTCGGTGTTAATAGCACGCACTGCACGGAACTACGTCCGATAATATCTCCGAGAGCTCTATAAGTATGATAAACCTTCCTCTCAACGCATTAAGGAGTTGCTATCCGTCGCCTTTTGGATCGACTCTAACAAGTTTGAGAATTGGAACGCTTAAAAGAAGCGAACTTAAAATATGAGTCACGGACCCCTGCATTGTAGCTCACGTCTTGTGCTGGAATTTGATATCCTTTTGTTATGTTTTTCTTGTGGGAAAATCTGGGAATAAAATATTTGGTTGAAGTGGGATATTTCGTCATTATTCATTTATTGGAATTACTTCTGCACAAATTTTTCATGGGGCCGATGAGCCAGCTTGCACACGTGGGTTTTGTGTGCATTAAATTTGAAGTAAGATCAACCCAATTTTTCAGATATTTTGCTTGCGACACCTCCATTTTAGATGCTTTCTTAACATTCTCTCCCGTAAACTCGACAGCCGCATTCCGGACAGATTTGCGTGTCCCTGTACCGCCGGAGTTAGTACAGTTCCATGTTCTCTTCCTTTCCACACGCCCCTGGTTTTTCTGAGGTTTGTTCGGACTGCTGTGCTCCTTGCTAGACTTGCACTGGGGGTAAAATGGGTAATTTTTACGTTTTTTTTTAAACTGTACTCTTTAAAACATGATGTTCCAGTTACTTTGTTTTGCAGGAAAGGTATAAACTCTGTGAAATCTGAAGCTGAATCGCATGGTACTGGTACTGGACTCTTTTGTTATTGCTTTCTCTAGTTTGTTTGGTGGTGGTTTCTGGTTCTAGAGCTTAGCGTACTTGTAGACTGCAGCAGGAACAACTTGCTGCCTGCAAGCTTAAGTGACCCCACCCCACTGTTACTCTGATTCCAGTTGATTCTGACCCCCCCCAAACCGACCGCCTCGACGAGGTCGCCCCTGTGGACCGCAGCAGCGCGCTCATGTTCCCCGCGTCTGTCCCCGAGCCCACCGGCCACCTCGGGGAAGTCGCCCACAGCTCTGCGGACATCAGCATCCCTCCGACCCGGGGATGGCATTTTCGACGGGTCGATGCTTCGTTCAGCTCCTGGGAGGACCATGTCAGGAAATTACGTTAGCCAGCACTTGCGGAAGCACCACTCGCTGGTGTGCCATTTTTTGCCTGCTGACGGGGAAAAGACTGCAAGATACTGACAGACTACAAAAGTCACTTCTCTGGAGTAAACGTGCACTTCAACTGCACGAGGGGTTCCGCGCGATTTTTCACTGCGATGAAACTAGGCGAGCACAAGAGAGTGTTCCACAGGCAGCCCTGAAAATTGCGAGGACGGAGTGTGGACTGTAACGTTCCTCTACGTTGCTGTACGAATGCAGCAAGGAACGACCCTTAATTTGTTCTATGGCAACACCTTACTTTGTTCAATGGTGCCTCCTTTGTTTTCTGGTTCCCCCTTATTTTTGTATGAGTGCCCTCGTTCAATCGGAACGTAATGGAACACCATCTAGAGGGCCGCAGCTTTACTTTTAAGCTCCGTTTTTGGCGTCGGTGTTAAATGCATTGCACGGAATCACGCCCGAAAATATCTCTGACAGCTCTTTTAAGATAAAAAACCGTCCTCACAACTTCGACGCCTTTTGGATCGACTGTAACAAGTTTGAGAAGGGGGGCGCTTAAAAGTAGCTAGCTTATGAGTCACGGGCTCCTGAACGGTAGCTTACGTCTTGTACTGGAGATTGCCTTCCTTTTGTTATTTTTTTCATGTGGGGAGATTTGGGAATAAAATATTTGGTTCAAGGGGGATTTTTCGTTTTCATTTATTGGAGTTACTACCTCAAAAACTTTTCATTGTCCCGATGACCCAGCTTACGCACGTGGGGTTTGTGTGCATTCAATTTGGACGAAGGCCCCCCAAATTGCTTAGATGTTTCGCCCTTGCACACGCCACTGGTTCGGACTTATGGGCTCCTTGCGAGACTTGCACAAGGTGGTAGTGTGTAATTTTTATATTTTTTTTAAAAACTGTACTTAAGATGTTTATGACATGATGTTCCAGGTACTTACACTCTTAAAAGCCGACGAAGCATTTGCTTCATAACTGCAAAGAAAATGAAGGCATTGTAGAATTGCTCCGTGAAATGAAGAAATGCTTCCTATTACGAAGGATTTTGCTTCATAGTACGATGCATTTTTTCGTAGTTTTTCCAGTGCCTTCCTTTCTTTGTATTACGAAGCGATTCTTCGTGGAGTTTTTACTGTGTACCTTTGCAGGAAAGGTAAAAACACTCTGAAATCTGAAACTGAATCTCATGATACTGGACTCTTCTTTTCTTGCTTTCTCTTGTTTGTTTGGTGGTGGTTTCGGGTTTGGGAGCTTAGCGTACGTGTAGACTACACTCTGCAATCTCAAGTATGTGCCAAGCACGCACCTCATAGAGTCAACCCAAGGCATGCACTTCATGCACTTCTTGGTGCATGCCTGCAGGCACACACTTCTCTTCTGCATGCCTCAGGCACACACTTGCCGTCGCTAATGCGTGTATACAAGCAAGTGGGGCCCTGAGGCATGCAGAAAAGAATTGTGTGCCTGCACTCATGCATCAAGAAGTGCATGACTCGTACACACTTGAGTTTGCAGCGCAGCGGGAACAGCTTGCTGCCTACTAGCAAATGTGACTCCAGTGTGACTCTGATTCCAGGTGGTTCTGCTCCCGCTGTTGGCCCCCGCATCGCCGTCAGGAGCGACTTCCGCCTGGACCGCTTCGGGCCGCGCGGCCCGCTGCTGCTGGCCGATCCCGCCGGCGCCGACCGCCTCGACGAAGTCGCCCCTGCGGACCGCAGCAGCGCGCTCATGTTTCCAGCGTCTGCCCCCGAGCCCACCCCCCACCACGACGAAGTCGCCCAAGAAGTCGTCCCCAGCACTGAGGGCATCAGCATCGCGCTGACGTTGCCCGCGTCCGCCCCCGAGCCCACGGGCCACCTCGATGAAGCGGCTCCCTGCACTGAGGACATCAGCATCCTGCTGATGTTTCCGGCGTCTGTCCCCGAGCCCACAGGCACCGACCACCTCGACGAAGTCGCCCCTGCGGACCGCAGCAGCGCGCTCATGTTGCCGGCGTCCGCCCCCGAGCCCACCAGCCACCTCCGCGAAGCCGCCCCCAGCACTGCGGACCGCAGCAGCGCGCCGATGATGCCCGCGTCCGTCCCCGAGCCCACCGAACACCTCGGCGAAGCCGCCCCCAGCACTGAGGACATCAGCGTCCTGCTGATGTTACCTGCGTCCGTCCCCGAGCCCACTGAACACCTCTACGAAGCCGCCCCCAGCGCTGAGGACATCAGCATCCTACTGGAGTTTCCCGCGTCCGCCCCCGGGCCCAGCGGCACCGCCCGCCTCGACGAAGTCGCCCCCAGCGCTGCGGACATCAGCATCCCTCCGACCCTGGGGTGGTGCGTTTCCCGCGGGTGCGATGCTTCGTTCAGCTCTTGGGAGGACCATGTCGAGCATTACTTTGGGGAGCACTTGCAGAAGCCCCGCTCGCTGGTGTGCCACTTTTGTCTGCAGTCGTTCGGTAACTGGAAGAATACTGAGAAACATGTCAAAGGTCACTCCGCCAGGGTAAACTTGCGCTGTCCTTCTACGAGGTGTTCGGCGCGTTTTTACGTTGCGAAGGATGCGAGGGAAAATGAGGCTGTTCCACAGGCGGCCTTTAAGTTCGCGAGGACGGAGTGTGGACTGTAACGTTCCTCGTCGCATTGCTGTACTGAAGCAGCAAGAAACGACCCTTAATTTGTACTATGGTAACACCTTGATGTGTTCAATGGTACCTTCTTTATGTTTCTTGTACCTCCTTAATTGGATATGAATGCCCCCGTTCAATCGGAATCTGTTGTAACACAATGTAGAGGGCCACAGCATTACTTTTAAGCTCCGTTTTTGGCGTCGATGTTAAAGTTATACATTGCACGGAATAATAGCGTTCGATAATGTCCCCAACAGCGCTTTTACTAAAAGGAACCTTCCCCACAACGCTCTAAGGAGTTGCTATCCGTCGCCTTTTGGATCGACTCTAACAAGTTTGAGAATTGGAACGCTTGAAAGAAGCGAACTTAAAATGATCCACGAAACGGAAGAAGGGGTTAAGTCGAGTTGATTCAGTGACCTCTTATCAATCTATTAAGTAAAAGTGAGCGAAAATTTGGTCCAAAAATAAGTGTGGGGGGACAAGTCCCATCCTCTTGCATGTATTTTTAGATGACATTCCCCACCTTTTCCCACCTGCAAGGTTCAGGCCTTTTAAAAGTGCACGGATTCACCCCGACTTACCCCCTTTTTCCGCTTCGTGGATCAAATATGAGTCACGGACCCCCGAACCGTCTTTTGCTGGAGATTGCCATCCTTTTGTTTTGTTTTTCTTGTGGGAAAATCTGGGAATAAAATATTTGGTTGAAGTTGGCTTTTTCGTCATGATTTATTGGAGTTACTTCCTCACAGATTTTTCATCGTGCCGATGAGCCAGCTTATACACGCAGGTTTTTTGTGCAATTTGAACTAAGGTCAACCCAATTGATTACATTTTTTGCTTGCGACACCTCCATTTTAGATGCTTTCTCAAGACCCTCTCTCTCCCGTAAACTTGACAGCCGCATTCCGGCCGGGTTTTTTTGTCCTTGTTGCCCTGCCGCATGCCAAAGACTTCGGCCACATGATCGAGGAGTGCCTGCATTTCTGTTTCGTCCTTCTTATGCACCAGTTTTATATGCCGACGAAGCTTGTCCATGCCGCCACTAAGCACTCGGCCACACCCTTCAGCGATGCAGGGCAGGGAGGGTGGGGTGTGGCGTCGGGTTCCAGCGCCGCTCTCGCCGCCCGCAGCGCGCTGTAAGAAAAAGTGTGAACGGTACAACAAAAGTTCAACAAAAGCTGTCCATTAAAAGTAGGGAATGTGTTAAGTACAACGAGCATTGTTCAAACCACAACGAGGCCTGGACTGCCCAGCACTCGTCATGCCGGTCCCTTTTTACTTTGTACAACAATTGTTGTACACTCTAAATGTCATACGAAGAAATTTCCCGTAATACGAAGGACGACGAAGGAAATGGCGCATGCATAATACGAAGGTGGTTTTCTTCGTATTACGAAGGTTTTTTTTTGTATCTTACCATGAACACTGAAATTCAAAGGGGGGGGACATCTGACCGATTTTCGGTGATACAAAAAATATGACCGAAAAAACGGTCATACACAAATTTTGACCGAAAAACGGTCATACACAAATGTATGACCGAAAAACGGTCATACTTGAATGTATGACCAAAAAAGGTCAGACATCAGCGAGGGGATATATCAGCCTTTACACGTGATACACTATAAAGTATGACCGTTTTTTGGTCCCTACATCGAATATCCGTTTTTTTTTGGTCATACCCTCGAAATATACCGTTTTTTTTTTTTGGTCATACATCGAATATGACCCTTTTTCGGGCGTCATTTCAGTAAGACCGTTTAAGCGGTCAAAAGTAAGACCGTTCTATTTTCAGTGAAAAGGCTGAAAATATTCGTATTACGAAAAGATATTGCTTTGAATTTTGCTTGCGCCGAATTCACCGTAACATAGAAATAACATGGGGCAAATTTCAAATTTTATTAAATTAGAATGTACTTTGAAAAACAAAATTCCTGATAAAAAATTGCCAGTGATTTGTGTACTTTTGTTGTGGTATCTTGCAGTGCGTCATCACGCGTCCCTCCGAGGCAGATCGCTGGCTCCGAAGGGGTCGCGTTTCCCGCTGCCACTTCGCCTTCGCTGTGCACCTCGGCAGTTGGGGGCGAACGAAAACGGAAGTAGGGATGCCTTGGAGGCTCGCCGTCGACGGAAATAGAGGCCCTCGCCGCAATCTTTCTGGCGTCCATCTTCACGTTCTGAATAGCTGGGCTAGAAAATAGAAAAAAAAAATTTGAGCAGCAGAAACGAGAAACTGGTGGACCTGACTGAAACTACGAGGTTTTTGTGAAAAGGTCGTTCAAGGAAACATAGTCAATAGTCATGGATCGGAGTGGACAGGTACACGGTTAAAACGGTACCTGGTTTTCCCAGGAAGCCTATGGTAGAGACAAGGGTGATTTCCAGGGAGTTCCTGGGACAACCAGGAACCGTTTTACCGTGTAGTCCTTGGGCCCCTCCAGAGCTTAAAGGCTGGAAACTTTTTTTTTTGGTAACTGCAGCAACAAACCCCAGGAATTTCAAAAGCTATCTTTGGCAAAAATGTTGCAGAAGGTACATTTGCAAATGAGAAGGATTAATTTAAAAAAAGCAGGACCTTTTATCGACCCCCTTGGATTGTCGCGATTTTTTTTCCACATTTTGTACACCTTAAAAGAAAAGGGTTGCCAAAATTTCAGACCCCAGACCGAAAAGTCGCTGCGTAGCAAGAAATACCCAAATTTACCGCAAAAACACTGAAAAAACTTTAAAAAGCCCACCAAACCTTCAACAATGGACCTAGGGGTCTGAAATTTCGGCAATCCTCTTCTTTTAAGGTGTTCAAAATGTGGACAAAAAATCGCGACAATCCAAGGGGGTCGATGTAAGGTCCGGGTTTTCTTAAATAATCCTTCTCAATGGTAATTTTTAATTTTAGATGATGTTCGGTAACATTTTTGGCAGAGGTGCCTTGGTCAATTTTCTAATAAAAATTTCGACGCGTCCTAATAGAATAATCCTAACTGGTAAAGACAAGACAATACTAACTGCCAGAGTTTGGTGTAAGGTATTGGTATAAGGATGGAACTTTTTGCGAAGCCCTTCGGCAAGTAACTTTTGAAACATGTTTGCGTGAGGAGCTATGAGAAAAGACTGCTTTTTACGTCATGTGCAGTTAGGATTGGTTCTGAATCGACACTTACAGTACGATTGTCTTGGATCTGCTCTGACAGTTAGGATTGTCTTGGATAATTTTTATGAGTACGCGCCGATTTCTTTCAGTGTATTCGTGAGAAGACTTTGGGAGAAACGACAAAATTTGTTACGTAAACCTAAAAAACTATTGCATGGGATAGGGTCCTTTTAAGTAAATCTGACTATGTCACACGTTAAACTTACACGCCTCAAGTACAACATTTCTCGAACAAAGGTCCAGTCCTCGCCCAGTCCAGGCCTCGTTGTGGTTTGCCCAATTCTCGTTGTACTTTTCACAATCAATCCCTGTTTTACTTTTAATGTACAGTCATTGTTTTACTCTTGTTGTGCTATTCACACTTTTTTTTACAGTGCACGTGAAGAAGTTAGTTACTCAGTAGTAGTTACTCAGTACTCACATGCATGTGCATCCTTCACTGACTTGAGAATACAGGCCAAAGGGGACCCAATTTTCGTCTGCTAAGTTGCGAGCCATGGGAAGGTTGTCTCCAAGGTTGGAAAATTGGTGAGCTGAGCAATAAAAAGTAAGAACGAACTCGCCAGGCCTCTGCAAAATCTGCAAACAAGTTAAATGTTATACTACGGGGGAAATTAAGGCATGGTATTACGCTTCTCGTACAGTCTGTACGCTCTGTTTGAAGCGTACCAGGCGGCTCTGTTTGAAGCGTACCAGGCGCCCCCTTCCTCCTATCTAAAGGCATGTGGGAATAGCCTGAACGCTTCAAGAAGTGCGTAAAGCCTTCAAGCGTAATTTTTCGCTTGAATGAAGCGTAGAACTACGCTCTAGCTTTACCAGTAAACAATCTTTTGACAATGAAAAGGGGGGCACCCTTCTGGCTACGCTTTGGCGCCAAATGGGTGACGGTTTTTTGTTTTTTAATTTTTTCGGACCACGGAATTTTCGCCAGTTTGGGTCTCATTCCAGGAACGTGATATCACGTTGAAACGAACGTGACAAACTGTCCCGTTCGTTTGAATGTGAATAAGCGGGTTTTTGGCAAATTTACACCGAACGTGACATTGCTGCTCCGATTGACGCCATTCTTGGCCTGTGAGTTCAAGTGTGGGACGGGACAGCATGTTTCAACTTTTTTCTACGTGTTTAAAACCCTACACAATTATAATCCTGGTGGATTTAGCCTGAGTCTCATCGAGCTCCCCTACGAAGGAAAACACACGGAATTAAAACTGCAGTGTTTTTCATGGACAACCCGACCATACTCCCTACAGCTCTACAGTGTATTTGAGGTGCCTTACATTTTTCTCCGGGGAGTTTGACTTGTTTTTAATGGTGAACACAGTGAACATTGCATACACTGCATTCTAAGCGTTAACACGTTGAAAAAGTTACGTTTTTTTGGGGAATTTTTTCGAACTTCTGTACAAAAAAAGGAAATCTGCTTAATTTTGGACCAGACAGGATTGTCCTTCTGGGTCAGGGACCTCTATTGAACGACCCTTTCCGCCTACTTACCGACAAAAAGTCGGACTTTTCCCCTACTTTGCAGGATGAATCCTTCCAACTCTTCTGAGGCCCGGCTCAAAATAGGGAACTGCACCTTTTTTTTTCAAAATCTTTCCGGAAAATTGTCGCGCAATCCACACTCAAAAAAAATTGCAAAATATTCTCCGGCATTGTATTGCAAACTCTCTTACAAACTATTTTTTTTGCATTGCGAAGTATTTCTTCGCATGCAAAAAAAATGCTTGCAACGTTACAACCAATGCTTCGCAACGTTGCAAACTTTTTTTTTCGCAAATTACGAACTATTCTTTGCAATGCGAAGAAAAAAATTCGCAAGGGAGTTTGTAATACAATACCGGAGAATGCTTTTTACTGCAAAGAACTTTTCTTTGCAAGCTTTTCTTTGTGCAGCTCCAACCTCACTACCACTCAGCCAACAAAATCAGACTTCTTTTAACTTCGTTAAGCGGGATGGCAAAACTGGGATAATGTCTGTGGAATAAATTATGTTCCGGCCACTCAGCATACGAATTCACGTGTGAAATTAATTTCCCCTTTTGATAGGGCACACGAAAAAAAGGCGGCATACAATCCGGGTTTGTTATGAATGTTTTATGGTGCAACGCGTTGGAACAACTTTTGTCAGCCAGATTAAGAGGCACAGTTTTTAGATATTCAAGCAGATCGAAAACGAATGCACCACTGTAAACTATCCTGTAACATAAAACAGACATATTTTAACGTGGGGATGCATATGCAACTACACTTCAAACCTAACTGTCTAATAAGTACACACTTACAAACGCATGCTTAACGCCGTATAACTTCATGCGTCAAGCATGCGTTTGTAAATGTGTGCTTTAGGTGTTAGGTTTGTAGTGTAGAAAGAAGGTTGATCTAGAACCATGAACATCAACCATTCGGAAGTCAAAAGTTTTACGTTAAAAAAAGTAGTAAAGTGAATATTTGCAAGATCCGAAAAAAGGTTTTTTTTTTAATCTAAATTTTACCTTATGTTAGACATTTGTTTCTTGTTCGTGCGCTAGCCACTTCAATTTTCTACAATTTGGCGCCAATGGGATCGCAATGTAAATATTTTTCGCACAATTAGCAATTTTTGCCACACACTCAGCACGTTACTGACTTTTTTCTCATTTTAAGCAACAATAATACTTAGTATTTTCTAAGTATGACTAATGTGCTGTCAAATTATGTACAAAACCAAATTGTCAGTACATTATTTCATATTTTCTCAGTAGTTCTTTAAAATAGGAAAAATACGTATTTGGTTTTCACAAATTACTTGCCGATTTTTCACAAAACTTTTATTTGTGTTCAAAAAATGCAAACTTCTTGGGGTGGATAATTAAATTACTTCCACTAATTCAGCTCCCTTATCTATTTTAAAAAAGGTCTTTTCGTACTAAACATATTTCAAAATCCCGAATCTCTTTTCCCAAAAGGGCAAATACGTGCACAAAACGTGTATGCAATTTTCTTCGCCATCGTACACTGCGGCAAGACGCTACGGAAAATTATGTTATTTTTTTGCCAAGATTCTCCGTTACGCTCTTGTCGCTATTCTCCGTAGAATCTCACACACTGCAAACCTAACTGTCTACTAAGTACACACTTACAAATGCCTGCAAGACACCCTACAAAAAGCATGCTTGGCCAAGTACACACTTACAATGCTGCTTGCAATACACACTTACAAAACCCTGCTTGACGCATGGAGTTTTTACGGCGTCAGCATGCGTTTGTAAGTGTGTACTTGCAAGCAGCATTTGTAAGTGTGTACCTGGCCAAGCATGCGTTTGTAATGTGTACTTGCAAGCATGCATTTTTAAGTGTGTACCTGGCCAAGCATGCGTTTGTAAGTGTGTACTTGCAAGCATGCATTTGTAAGTGTGTACTTTGTAGACAATTAGGTTTGTAGTGCACTTGTTCACAGAATTTTCCTGACACATTAAATGCTTATGGATTTTATGTCGCTTTATGTCCATAACTATGGCCGTATTTGTGCATACTGAAGTTATGTACAATTTGTACATAATTAGGTAC